AAAATGGGCAGGCATATGAAAAAGGCAGTTTGAGCGGGTTACACATACAAAGAGTTTATGAAGAACAAGTGGTCAGGATGGGGATGTGGTTGTGTGGAGTGGGAGACCTTCAAAAAAAGAAGTGAAAAATTTAAAGATCAAAAGACAAGTTACAAAGTGATGTCTGAACATGGTGGGAGTAAAGGAGTGGAAGCTCATTAAAAAGGATCCAAGTTTGTTCTGAGAAAAAGTTTCCTGACTTGAGAACAATTAACCCAGTGGTTCTCAACCTGTGGGTCGGGACCCCATTTGGGGTCGAACGACCATTTCACGGGGGTCGCCAAACAACGCAGTCCGCCATTTTCCCCCCCCCTTTCCTTAGCTGTGCTACTCTTGAATAGAGTCTATTTCTATTGGCTTTCAAAAGCCAATAGGAATTGTCCAGGCTGTCTCTGCCCTGCTGAGCCCGCCAAAAGTCCCATTCTGCAAATGGTGTTGCATCAATTGAGTAGTCCTCGACTTACAACCGGTTGGGGGTCGCGGCATTAAAAAGGTTGAGAACCACTGAATTAACCAGTGGAGTAGCTTTCCTCCTGGGGTTGTGGGTGCTCCATTGCCACTTGACTGGGATGGCATAAGGCTCCTCCCTTGAGCAAGGGGCTGGACTAGAAAACCCCCAAGGTCCCTTCCAGCCCTAGGATGTTCTGATTGGGAGAAATACCACGTATCGTGATACTTAGCTACATTTTCTGTAGCTGAAGACCTGCTGCCTTTCCATAATTTTGCTTATGACAAAAGGCAAATTGCATGATAGAGATGTATGTAATGCCTGTAGGTAAATAATCAGTACAAAAATATGTGGAATTTTGCATTGACTCTGATTCTACAATGAACAGGAGAAAGGGGTAATCAGGACAACTAAGAGGATGGAACAATTGTAACATTTCAATCTCTGGGGGATTTGGAGGTTAGAAGAAAAAGCCAATGGAAATTTCATAAATGGATATAAAATTATGCTAGTCAGTAGAAATAAATTTGGTTTGTCTTTCTTGACATGGGATCATGCAGTTAAGTCAAATTGGGGATAGGGAGATTCAGGATATACTAAAGGAAGAACATCGCAGATGGTCTCTTAAAACCTGGCATTCATCCACCCACCATCCAATTTGGCTGTTTTTAAGAGTGGATTAGTAGTGGCAACCAAGGATTTCTAGAGGCAGATTACCTTAATTCCACCCTGCCCTTGTGGGCCTCCCGGAGGCAGGGTCTGCCTTTTGGGAGAGCAGAAGACTGGACTAAAACGGGAAAGGATGTGGGTTGGTTTCACACACAGTCTTAAGCCACAAGTGTGACTTTTTACCTCTCTTGGTATGCTTTTGGGCTTTGAAAAATGTACTTGGAAACCCATTGTGGCTTTTTGATACATTAAGCAAACAATGACTTAATGTGGGAACCAAGATGATGTGTAGGGAAGTCTTAAGTGTTCACTTAAAATGTTATCACGGTTCTTGAATTAATCCATTTCCTGGTTTCCTGCATGTCTTCTGGCTCTGAGGGCGTCTCCTCTGCCTCGGGAGCCCAAAGGCAAATCTGATTATGCCACCTGCACCACAGACTGGACTAAGATTGCAAACAGATCAGGATTGCACAAACTTCACACACTAGAAATGTAGCTGCTGGGATTGTACAGATCCCTTTATATGGTTAAGAGCAAATTTTAGTTTATTGGTTTCTCTCCCTCTTCGCCATTATATGAACATTTACATATGAGTATTGTCTATTCCCCAGTTCTTTGATGCCGGATCCCTGCCTGTACCACCTGCCTTCTCTGGAAAGACAAGGACCCATAAGTAACTGGCACCACAAATATCCGAGGGGGTGACAGCAAGATGCACAAATGTCTCTTAAGTTAGGCACTGAATTCAACTCAAGGCAACTTTTTATCACTTTAGTGAGCTTGAATAGACAACAACCAAACTGATTTAAAATATCTTGTTTCAATAGGGCAGGGATGGTGAACCTTTTAGAGACCGAGTGCCCAAACTGCAACCCAAAACCCACTTATGCATCGTCGGGTGCCGGGCAGGCATGGCCCATTGGATGGGTGTGGTCAATTGGGTGGGCGTGGCTGCGAGAGTAACGGCAGACTGGTTGGGACTAAAAAGTTCAATCAAAAAGTTCAATCAATTTGCAAGATCTTTTCTTTCCCCTTAAGAAGTTGAAATTGATTGAACTTTTTTGTTTTGCACACGGCAGCAGAGGCCTTAAGCGAAAAGGTTTTATAAAACCCAGCTGAAGGCCTAGAACTGGAGCGATGGCGCATGTACCCACAGAGTGGGCACTCTGTGCCACCTTTGGCACGCGTGCCATAGGTTTGCCACCATGGCAATAGGGTGTACACGGTATGAACTCTTTGTACCAGCATCATTCTGGATTTCTACTGTGAAAAGAGCATTGCTGTTGTTGGCCTTTTGCTGTTGTTCCATTTCTGATGGTTGAAACATTCAGGATCGGGGTAGGAAGCCCGTGTGATCCTCTGCTCTACATGCTGCAATTCCAGGGTTGCAAAATTCTCTCTTCAGCAATTTTATCCAATTCTGGATATGATCTTCTGGTTCCCAAGTCTGTTGAGTCGAGATTGATGGACAACTCCATATGGACTTTTTGACAATACTACACAGGTGCTCGGTTATTGTCCTCTTCTGGAACGTCCTTTCGCTTCCTGGTGTAGCCTTCTCACCCAGGGACTTCCTGATGGGACCAAATACTAACCGTGCTTGTCCCAAAGGTGCTTTTCAAAAGGCAACTGGACTTTCTTGTTTTTTCCTTAAAAAGGTTTTGCTTCTCATCCAAGAAGCTTCTTCAGTTCTGAATGAATGGTGGGAAATAAAAGGATTTATATTCTTTGCAGTCATTTGGTTGGTAGCACTCTGAAGGTCAGTTGTTAGCTTTCCGGGAGACGTTGAGGCCACTTGGGGATTTATCTGGACCCTCAAGGTCATCTGAATCAGAACACAAATGGGTGTGGAATCTTTTTAGGATAGCTGAAAGGACTGCATTGTAAACTAGAGATAGGTGGTGTCAAATATCTCCCCCTTGTTGCCTTTAACCATGCTTGGCTTCCCAGCACACACAAAGTTGGCCAGTTACTGCTAATAAAATCAATAATAAAGGGACTGGAGAGTCATTTGTCTGGACAGAGGGTTGGACTAGACCTCCAAGGACCCTTCCTATTCTGTTATGCTGAATTCTGTAATACCGAGACCACATTTTAAGCAAACACTCTTTAGAGTTGTCAGAAAAGCTCTTATGTTAAAACCTGTGTGCATAAAACAGGAGTTCCTCTGGAATTCCCATCTTCTAGGAAATGTCTCAGCTGGTGGCGTTGCATTTTTAACTCATCTGTATGGCACCAGAAGGGGGAAGGGTCGCTTGTAAGGTGACCTCTTCTGGGGACATGGATACTCCTGCTCAATTTACTCTATCCAGCTGGCCACTTTGGGAGCTGTTCTCCTAAGCTCCCACCAGGGGGCCTTCTGCCATCAGCGGTGAAGGAGATGAAGCAATGCTGGATGTGAACAGGATGTCCAGTCAGTATGAACCACTTTTGGGTCTACATTATGGCAGATTGAAAACAGTAAAGTTCCAATACTTCTCTGCATTCGTTATGTCTGCAAAATGCTGGCCAATAGCATTATTCCAGTTGACTCGTTCCTTTTAGATTCTGTGGAACCAAGCAGTTCCCTCTGCTGACCATTGTACACGGCTTCTCATGCATCGTGAAGGAATGTCCTGGATGAGTGGATTATCAGGGCCAGTGCACCACTCTTTGTCTTGTTAAGATACTCAATAGCAATCAGTATGTTATCCTTTGGGGCTGCTCACAAGGCTTGGGGATTGAAGGCTCTGTTTTACAATGGTCCCTCTCCTTTGTAAAGGCAGCAATTCTACTTGGAAGGAGTGATATTGGAAGCAGATCGAGGTCTTGGACACTAAAGCAGGCTGCACCCATATACTGTTTTCTACATAAAACAACCACTCAGAATAGATAAACTTTGCTTTGGAATTAAGCATCATCAATATATCTCATCCGCACAGGCCAAGCAAACTTGGCGGAAATTCCTACCCAGAGCCTGGAGGCTGTGAAAATTGAGGTGGGACAGGATACTGTGATGGCCCCATCCCTTGCTGATTCGGAGAAGGATGAGCTGGAATAGGGGCCATCAGACACGGGGCCCAGGGGAGCCAGAAGCTCTCGAAGAACTGCTTGTTCATTGAACTGCTTGGGAGAGGAGTGTCATGGTTGACTTGCTACACAACCCTGCTCACAACCAGACAACAGTAACAGGAGGGGGAGGGAAGGCATTGGAATGTAAGGGAGGTTTGGGAGGGACCTCTGGAATGCAAGTGTCCCGCCTGAAAGAAACGTCTGAGGCAGACAGGCCGTTTCCAGAATAAAGCAGTGCAATAGATTGGTGGACAATGGGAGGTTGGGGGCGGGGGGGGGAGGAAAAGTTTTCCTATGCTGTTTGCACGCAAAAACGTCAGAACTGGCTTTTCTACTTCTGTACCCATATGGCTTTTCAGTAAAGTTATACTCTTGCTGTTTAATACTGTGGGTTGACAGGGAGTTTGTGACACGGGGGAATTTTGGAGATACTGTTATAATGAATGGTGCAAGAAACATATTCTACTCACACCTATTGCCTTGTGTGTTAGTTGGGTCAGAACAGGTAGGCTCAAGACTGAATTTCAGCAAGATGGAGATATTGCTCTGGTTCCATCTGCTGCTCTGGGAGGAGTCACACTTCCCCGGAAGAATAAGTATCGGTAATCTGAGAATTCTGCCTCATGCTTGCCAAGAGATCCTTCAGCCATCTGTAGTTGATCTGCTAGTTCTATCCTTTCCTGGCCAAAAACCAATGAAGACAGTGACTCTTATCATTGTTAAGACCACATAAAATTGTGTTAGGTGGTGCCGTGTCAGCCCTACAATAGACCAGAGAAAGAAACCAATACCATGTAAGTCAGGGCTACTTTTATTGGAACAGATATACTAGCAAAAATACTCAAGTCTGAATGTCCCCTTTTTATATTTGTGCAAACTAGGGAGGGTTGAACCTGATGCCAGCACCCTCTCCTCACTATGAACAACTTGCCCCCTTCCAATAAGAGTAGTCTTTCTTTTATCCTTTAGGAAAGGGATGAAAACAGTATTCTGCTTGAGCGTGTTCAGAATTTTATTTAGGATTTAGCAACTGACATACTTTTAATTATATATTTTGGTCTGAAGTCAATACAAATTCACTATGAGTCACAGATAAAAGAAATCTAGTAACCTGAAAATGAATTCATGTAATAGCAAATAATTTAAAAGGTTTCACAAAAGCTTCAAGAATTAAGGGGGATTTTTTTCAGCTTCCATACAAGGCAGCTCTTGGTTAATGACCACTGTCAGCTTCCAACAAGTAAAAGTCATTGGGGAAGACAGCAGGAAGTCACAGATGGGAATCATGAGATGTCATGCCTAATAGACTGCAAGGGATTCCCCTAAAAAAACAGCAACTGGAATGGCTGTTTTAAGTTGGCACAGTTGTGTCACTGAACTTTATGATCGTATCACTTAACGATTGAGTTCCTGTACCAATTCTATTGTTAACCAAGAACTATCCATAAGCATGGGATGATTTTGATAAAGATGGCCAGAAACCTGAAATATTGATGTTTCTTCCTTTGAGCAATATGTCTGCGTTGTTGGATCTCTTTAATAAAGTCAGGGAAAAGCATATTAGGATATTGGAGGGGGTTGCCTTCTGGTGGAGAATTTGTGGCCCTCCACAAGTTGGAGTCGTTGGGTATGCTCAACCTTCTCTTAAGACTTTGGGGAGACATGATGATCTCCTTCAAGGACCTGAAGGCTGAAATGGAGAAGAAGAGGCAGAATTGTTCAGAGCTGCTCCACGAGATGGAACCATAAACAAGGGGGTTAAAAATGCAAGGGAGTTGATTTCATCCTAATGCTCCAAGGGAACTTTTCCTACTATCTAACTGTGAACCATTTTGCCTTTGCAAAATGCCTTTGCCCACTCTTGTACCAGAAGTATTTAAACCAGAAGCCTGGATGGGAGATCATTGGACACTGTGATTTTCAAATCCTCCTTAATTCTGTGAAAGGAGACTAGGTTCAAGAATGCAATTAAATAATTCTGACAGATGAGAATATTTAGCTACTATATATTTTTCTAAACAGAAAGTATCATTAAAAGAAAAATTTAACACATCATTTAATGCTCCAGCATAACATTTATAGAAGTGAAGGCACATTCTTGAGAAGATCGTGACATATGCTTCATATAAACTAATATTGCACAAGATTGCTTAAAGTTCTTTTTAGCTTTCTTTCAACAACCTTGGACTGTTTCCTGAAAACGGAATCAGCAGATCTGGGACTTCAGCTTTTTGACTGCAGGAAGCAAAGAGGCTCAGAGAGGCAAAAACAGTTCTAGCTTTTTTTTTAAAAACTAATTTTTCAAACTGGCGAAAAAGGGAAAGACATTTGCCTTCATTTGTGAAAAACAATTCTGATCACCATAAGGAATCTGAAGAATGACTCTTTGCTGTTTTCTGAATTTACCCAAAATGTTTGATCAACTGGTGTCTGTATCAGACAGACCTCCTTAACAAAACTGGGATGAGCAGCAGCAGATAAAATATCTGCCGCCATGGAATGTGCAGAACAGACACCAAACCTTCAGAAATCTCCATCATAAATGCAATAAAACAATCCCTGCTTCACTTTAATTTTGGATGCATTGAAGTATGTTTGCATAACATAGATAGATAGGTCATCCTTGACTTGTGACCAGTAACACTAGAGCTGTAAAGTACTTCCAGTTGTCATAAAATGTCACAAACACCTCACACACCCACACACAAAACACACGCAGAAATGATTTCATTTTGGGTGCTTGGCAACCAACTAGTTGACGCGTCCTATGGTCATGTGACTGCAATTTGCAATTCTTTTTGGGAAAATGTCCATTCAGGAGAATGGATTCATTTAACGACCATGTGATTCCCTCAATCACCACTGTAAAAACAGTTGAAAAAGTGGATTAGGTAATAAGAATGCCTCAATTTACGACTGTTAATTACTTATGACCAAAATTCTAGTCTGAATTAAGGTTGCTAAGCTGAGAACTATTTGCACATTGCTGGCGTGAGAAGCGTGCTCTGGAGGCCTCCCCCCTTGGGGCTTGGGGTGCCTGCAGAAATGCTGGGACTGCAACTTGCACTATCACCAGCCATGCTGCTGGATGCCAGAAACCAGGAAGACGGGAAGTAAATCCGGTGCATTTTAAGGTGATTGAGGCTGGCTTGGAAGATCTTAGAGGCTAAAAGACATTGAAAGCGCTATCACTCACTCTGGCCTCCCTGGAGTATTTTTTCAGCATTATTTTTTTAAAAAAATGGGTTCTGCTTGACATGCATAGAGGTGGACACCAAAGGGAGAGATGGATGTGCCCGTGTTTTAAAAGAAGTGGACACCCAGCTAGGAAGGGAAGGGAAGGGAAGGGAAAAGGAAAGGTAATTTTGAATTTAAAGCCAGAGAGAAAACGGGAAGGAATACACATGGGGAAAATCCTGTCCTGCATGTATGTCTGCTTTGAGTAAAATGTGTTTCAGATACATGGAACTACCAGAAGCAAATAACAAAAATAAATATATTTAAATGAAATGCATAGCTTTTTCTAAAATCAGCTTTTGAAGTTGTTAGGCTGACATCTGATAATTTAAGATTCCTGATAAACAAGCCTGCTTGAGGCCGGAAAGAAACTTTTTTTTTATAGAAACAGTAACTTTGCATTTTTGATGAGCATTCAAGGACATTCGAGGCAAAGAAGCAACTTTTGGTTCTTTGAAACAAAACAAGTATAAAACATTATTAACAAATATATCAAGATAAAGACTCTAAAAATCCAGGATGGCAGACAACTGGATGAGAAACTAGGAAACGATGACATTCAATTCACCATGTGAATTTTCAGTTTTCATACTATGAAATTCACTTGACTAAACTGAGGCATATTACATCAATATATAATAAGACATGTCCTGCTCTGTGAACAGAATTTTTTACATATGATCTTTTTAAAAAATCAAACTTACTTTGCTCCGCCTCAAAAGCATCAGTGCCTGTTCTTCCCCTGAGCCTGGGCCAGCCAACGGTCCTCCTCAAAGCTGGGGCTTACTCGCTGCATGACTTTTGCCAGCAAGTAGAATGAGAAACGCTGCATGCAATGCCTGGCCAAGCTGAGGTTGCCGGGCGCCGCAACCCAAAGACATCTGGAAAGGGCTACCTTGGAAAGGGGTAAGCCGGACCTGAGCCAGGTTTCCTAACAACCCGATCAAACTCCAGTTAAGATCAGGATCAGGGTCTAGATCAGGGATCCACAACCCCTGGTTCGTGGACCGGTACTGGGCCGCGGCGTGCCAGCAATCGGTCCACACAAACAAGCAAAGCCCCATCCGTGGGATGCAGGCAGCACCCAAAACCACTTGCTGATCCGTGGAAAAAACTTTCTCCGTGGAACCGGTCCCTGGTGCCCAAAAGGTTGGGGACTTCTGCTCTAGAAAGCTAAAACCTGAGCCCTCTCTCTTCCGGGGGCCACTCCCGGAGGGCTAAAAGAGGAGAAAGGGTTTTTAAAAGCTGTGATTTAGGCTATGTTTCTCTAGCTGTATATTCCAAATGGTTTTTATAAGGGGTATTAAAATGCCTACATTTTGTGACTTAAACAAAACTGAAAATTAAATAAATATTTTTTCCATGAACTTTGATCCTGATAGTGGATCTCACCGCTCACTGAGCAAGGGGCTGGATTAGAAGACCTCCAAGATCCCTTCCAGCTCTATTCTGATTGATTGCTTTAAATGGAGACAAGTTCATCATCAGGTCAAAAGACACATGGATCTTAGAAGGCTAATTCTTGCACTCGCTATTTCAAAATTATGAAAGCAAAAAGTTTTGTGCAAGGCCAATTTTGTTCTCCAAGCAGCTGTTCATCATCAAGCCAAATCTGCCTTCTGCAGTTAGTGTTGGAGGAGGACAGATCTTGCAGGGAAGTGCCAGAGCCCTCTGCATCCTCTGAGCTGTGCACGCCTGACATATTATCCGTAGCAGGATAGGAGGCCACGAGAGGGAGGCAATTTGAGTTCTTTCGGGGTCTGGATGGTGATCAGAGACAAAAGGAAGGGCTGGTTTTGCTGGACTCCAACCAAAGAAAAAAGGGGAGAAACCTGACAGAGTGGGGAAGGATAGAAAAGATGGAGTCCTGCTGAGGCCCAGAAGGTACCAGGGCTCGACTGCCTTCCAACAGCCCCACGAGGAGGAGGGCCCAATCTGCAGTTGGCCAAAGAGGCAAGGCACTCAGAAGAGGACTGCTCTGCTCTTTCCCAGATCCAGACGTGACCTTTCCTGAGAATGCCTCTGCTTCCGGGGAGAAGAAAGGCACGCTTCTTTGGCAAATGGGAAAATAACAACAAGCCCTAGAAACTATGAGCTGGTAGCAACCAGAAGATATTGTCATTTTGGCTTCTTCCCAAAAAATCAACTTGAAAAGCGACTCAGCATTGTAGCTCCCGATTCTGTTACATTTTGGAATCTTTTGTCCCATCCTGGCTGCTAAGAGGAGCAAAACCGTGTGGAACACCCTGATCTCCCTGGGCAAAAACCCCAGAGCACCCTCATTCAGCTGAGCAGGTCAAGCACAAGAAATGCCCGAACAGCAGACACCGTGGCCCTGCTCCACCACTTCACACAGTTGTGTCGTCTTCCTCCCGGGAGTCCCCAACCAGAAGCGAATGCTTGTCAGGCTCGCTCAGGGCAATGTTGCTGAGGGAGCACTTGTCGGAGAAGAGGGAGCTGAGGGAGGCTTGACTGTAGTGGATAATTCGGTCCATGAGGCTCAGTTTCGGAGACCCTGGTCCAACGTCGTCAATCCCAATATGGACACTGATTTCTGAAGCGCTCTTGCACCTCCCCTGGGTGCGGGCCTGGCGCTCGTACTTCTCACAGGTAGGCTTCTTATAACTAAAGGGGAATACAACCTAGATCGGTGGCTGGTTCTGGAAAACCGGAGCCAGGGATTGCCCAGACCTTACAGCCCCAAGAGCCCTATGTGGGAGGCTGACCTTTGTGGCACCTTTTACATGGGGGGGGGGGCAGGGATACTAGCGGCACAACTCTTCCACCAAATTACTCCCAGTCAAGAAAGTTCATTACTTCTCTGGTATGGCTTTTATAGCCTCAAAACATTTTCCTTCCTGCTTTAACATTTACTAAACATTTTGTTTAACGTGACATTATGACAAGCCTTCCTGGTCCAGAGATGGCCCAGAGCCCTTTGAAGGCAGCATGGTTCTCTTTCCCCCGGGGAGAAGGCCTCTTCTGATCCCAGTCTGCTTTGCTTGGTTTCGCATGCAGCTTCTCCTAAAATTCCTCTTCCGTCAATCCACCAGTGCTCCCCTAGAAAGCAACTCTGCCGCCCTTGATACCCAGCTCTCTCTCACTAAAGGATACGGCCCGCAAGGAAGGCAGACAACCACAATGTCACTTAGCTAAAGATCAAGCTCTGGATGGCCTTTCACTAATGGAGCCACTGAGCAGCGGCTGAAGACGAGCGCTTTGGCTTCCTCCCCCTCTCCTGCACACGTCACCCGCTGCTCCTCCCCTCCCGTCTGCAGAGCTACTCACAGTCTTAGCAGCAGAGAAGACAACACCACGGACACAGAGGAGGCTGCCATTGCTGCAGATCCCATCCAAGGCTGCAGAACCAAACCAATCGGCAGGAAGACACCTAGGGCCAAGCACGCCAGAGGTCAAAGGAGCGCCGGAACTCAAACTTGGAAACACCAGCGGGAATACAGACCGTGAAGCATCTTCACGACTATTTCCTGTCACTGGGGGGGGGGAGGGTAGGAGAAAAACTAGAACCCAAATCGAAAAGAGGGGATTCAGGAAGCCACTTGCACAGAAGAAACGTCTTACCCCTCCAAATTTATTTTGCCTCCCTAAACTCAAGAATTCCTCCTTCTCTACCTAAACTGACCGAAGCAAAGTGGGAGGAAAGTCTGGAATTTGATGCCCACTTAATGCTTCTTTTCTCAGGTAACGTTTCCCGCAGCTTTTTGCTTTACTTAAAGAGATTGATGCACATCAATTTAAAGACCTTCTGTGGAGGATGCCATGCAGCAGTTCAACACCAAGAAACGTTGCATACCTGCAGCAACAGGAACCCCAATAAGATTGTATATGAGAGCAAAGACAAAGTTGATCCGTATCCTTTTAACGGTTTTCCGTGATAAATCTATGCTTGCCACCACATCCAGCAAATCATTCTGCAAAATATGTTGTTTCAGAAATTACTTAACATGATTAATTCTATCAATCAACGCTTTAGATTCCCGGTAACACTTAACAAAGCTACATCACTTTCTGGGCCTCAGCAAACTTCACCCCACATTTTAGAAATACATATATAATCGAAACACGTAGGGGACAGGCTGGACAACCTATAAGCCCCAGGTCTGCTTTGCATCCCTTTTCCCTTAATCTACTTCCCACTAGACTCCTGGGCTTCTGGCTCTCCTCTGGAGAAGAAACACACAAAATGGGTCTCTAAGGTCAGACTGAAGAGGCCTCAAACAATAAATAAACAGTTTACCAGAAAAGGAAATAGAAAATCATCTTTAAAAATCCTGGCTCTAGCCTGCTCACTTTGTGCCACCTCTCCACCCACTGGGCCTTTTCCCCTTTCATCAAAACAGGGTTCCTGGCCACCAAAACATTATCCATTCTTTACTCAGATGAAGAAAAGATGTGCTCTGAGGACGTTCTAAGTAAGAGCAATTTAAGAGTTGAAGGAATGGCCTAGAGCATGGCTCTTTTATGACTCGTGGATTTCAATTCCCAGAATTCCTGAGCCACCCCTGGCCTAGAGGCAGTGAGCTCCCTTCCTTGAAGGTGTCCTATGGGGCACCTTCAACAGGGACCCTTCCATCAAGCAGAGCTTGAATCAAAGCCCCTCGGATTCCCACATAACTTTTCCTCTCCATTTCAGAAAGGAAATGCATGAACTGATGCAGGCTTAGCCTAACTCTGCTCTCGGGCAGAGTCTTCCCCTCCCGCGCACAACTTACCCTGATCAAAACCACGTCAGCTGCTTCTATAGCCACGTCGGTGCCCGTGCCAATGGCAATGCCAACATTCGCCATGGCCAGGGCTGGGGAATCGTTGATGCCGTCGCCCACCATAGCCACCCGCTTTCCTTCTTCCTGCAGCTGCCTCACTTTGGCAACTTTGTGGGAGGGGAGCACTTCAGCAAATACTTTTGTGATGCCAACCTAAAAACAAAAGAGAGAAGGCTGAGAAGCCCAAAGGAAGGAGACAGGAACAGCATTCTGCTCTGGAATCAGGGTGAGCCAAGACCACCTTGCAGTTCAAGAGATTCCGATTTTCCAAAGGCATCAGGATCTCCAATAGGTAAGAGAAAGTGAAAATATAACGTAAGCTGACTGCATTATGAAGCCTTGGAGGGATCAAAGGAGCCCTCGGGCATCCAGCAGCTTACCTGAGAAGCAATCGACCTGGCAGTTTTGCCATTGTCCCCCGTCATCAGGACCACCTCCAAACCCATCCCCTTCAGCGTCCGTACAGCAAGATCCGCTTCGGGCTTCACAGTGTCAGCAATGGCTACCAAACCACACAGCTCCCCTAGAAGACAAACACGGTCCCATGAAAGCACAGATGCCGCTAGAGAAGGCCTACTTTCCCATTATGTTTCCTCCTAAACCTACTGGGATCTGACTTAGTTATATTTTTACCTTTTACTGATTTTATTGATAAATTACAATAAAACAATCCCTTTATTGATTGTTGTGAGTTGCCCACAGTTTCAGGCAGCTACAAGTTTAAAGAGGAATAATAGTAGGCCACTTGGTTGCTACAAGAGCACGCAGACTGACTACAAACAACGGCGTGACAAAGTAGTAACAATGGTGCACTGGAAGATCATAAATTTTAAAAATATATCATGTTGCATTTATATGAATGATTTCCTTTTTTTTTAATAATAATTTTTTATTTTTCCAAACTCTCCCTGATACATATACCATGATATTTATCAGATGTTAACATACATTCTTTTTACATTCATATATAAGATACTTTTAATAAAATGAAATAAATACATACACATGACTTTTGGTGTTGCTCGCCCATTTCCCCTTTCACTGTATCCACTCTCCCTTCTTCTCTACCTTCTTTCTCCCTTTCTTCTCTTCCCTACTTCCCTCTTCTTCCTCTCTTCTCTTTCCTTCACCATTTCTCCTCTTCTCCTCCAACCTTCCTACTTCCTTCTCCCCTTCAGATACAATTCAGGGGTAACGTCCGAGCAACTCCTCTCTCCAAAGTTTCCTATCTGTATTATATACAATAAGATTAATTTTCTCTTACATTAATACTTCTATTTATCTAACCTTCTCGGTATATACTTCTATAAATATTTATACAACCTCCAGTTATTCAATACTGTGTCGCCTGGGTCTTATACGAATGATTTCCATTTATATGAATGGTATGAAGGATTTCCAGGAGCCAAAGTTACTTAAAATCAAAGACGTGGTTAGGATTAAAAGAGGAAAAAGACTTGGGTTAGGCTTGCTTCAGGCCTCAGAATCAGTGGGGGGGGGGTGCCAGTGGAGGCTCAAGCATTGCTTCCCTCTTCTTTGCAGTTGTAAATACTGAAACAAGGTACAGATCTGCAGAAGGGAGGGGCAATTATTCTTCTGGGAGCCTGAGACAGGGGCAGCAGTGAAGAGTCAAGAGGGGGGAGATTTCTCATTTTTAGGCAAAATAAATGTGTCAAACTTAATAATTATTTCAGCTTTTTCTTGCAGGAAAATGTGAAAAATCACCCAGCCATAAAATCAGTCTTTAGAAACATACACTCACAGGAAATGTGTATATGTCTAGGGAGGGCGCAACTTGCACATCATGACACACTTTCACGGAGAATAATCCTAAACTTGTTTAAGCAAATGGAAGCAAGAAGACACTGGGCTCCTCCAAGCTGGGTTCATTGTGACATTCAATTGGGGCCAATAAATTCAATTGAAATATTCCAATGAAATATTCCAATATTTTATTTCTAAAAGAGTTTAATGAGAATTAATTTACATTTATTTAATACATTTATTTGCTGTCCATATATTGAATCAACTCTTTTGAATATTTGAAGGCAAGACTATTTGATAGTTTATATATTTGCACTATTTAAAGAGAAATAGTCAATGATAATGATTAACAAATTTTAAAATGTCAAATGACTGTGCATTTATATTTATTATAAATGAAATAAATACTCCTAAATGCTCATTCAGAACTACTCTGGAGTTTTATTCATTATTTGGAATTGTTATGAGGTGCATCTTTGGAAATAATTCCCGCCCCCCCCCCCCCGGTCGATTTCTATCCTGCCCAACTGTTTGAACACATCCAGTTTTTCCCTGCACCTCCTTCGGCCTTCTTAAACCAAAACACTGACTACCCAAATCATCAAGCCTACCATCCACAGCGACAAGAACGGCCGTGCGGCCTCGGCGCTCATGCTCAGCCATTGCTTCGTCAATATCATCCCTGAGAAGGAGGCCGTTCCTAGACATCCACTCTCGGTTTCCAATGAGAACAGAATATTTGTGAGACATCCATGGGTCTGAAAGGAAAATTTCCATTATCCAAAAAAGAGGAACAATTTAACACCAAGAACAGTGTTAGTCAAGACCAGCCAAAAAACTGAAATATGTTGTACCCTTTCAGGCTAACAAATGTTATTAAAAGATACGGGATTTAGAATCATAGGGCTGGAAGGAGCCCCATCCTTATTCCATCCTGGACTAATGGTTGTCCAATATTTTTTGAAAACCACAGCAACGGCGCTCCTACAAAGCCTGGGAGGCAGTCGGTTCTGCTGACTAATGGCTCAGGGAAATTCTCCTTAGTTCCAGGCTGGATTGCTCTCTATCGAGCTTCCACCCGCTGCTTTTTGTTCTGCCCTCAGATGTTTTGGAGGATGAACCATCCCTAAGCCTCCTCTTCATTAGGCCAAACATACCTAGTCCCCTTAGCTATTGATTGTATAGTTTAACCTCCAGACCCCTGATCATCTTTGTTGTTCTTCTCTGCACTCTTTCTAGGGTCTCAGCATCTTTTTTGCATTGTGGTGACCAGAACTGGATGCCATAGGCCAGGTGTGGCCTTACTAGGGCAGTATAGAGTGGTACGATCACTTCTCGTGATCTTGATGCTATCCTTCTGTTAAGGCAGTTTAGGACTGCATTGGCTTTTTTGGCAACTGTAGCACACTGCTGGCTCCTATAGAGTGGTGGACCACGAGGACACCTAGATTCCTCTCACAGATGCTACTAATGTTCACAAGGTATACCTCACAACAGACGTGCAAAATGAATAATAGATAGAAGTTGGTCATCAAAACAAGGATTTAAAACAAGAACAAAGTAGCATCAGAGCATTTCAAGACACCCCATAGCAGATCGCATAGATGCCATTATGGAAAAAAGAAACTATAATAACATAATTGAAGTAGAGGTTGCTGAACTCATGTATACTAAAAAGTGTCATGCTATCTCAGGAAATCTCAACAAACACAATGGTTCTTAACATATTACAGTTGTTAATTGATAAAGTACAGTACTAGATAATCCGTCTCACATGTATCCTGAATCTTCATAAACTAACCATTTTCTTCCTTTCTACTCCCTATCTCATCATCATACTTCAGTCTAGCCATTCTATCTAATCAAGGAAGCTGCAACTCAGAAGCTTGTGCTTTTTAAATAATATTTGTTAGTTGGAAAAGACGCTACCAAACTCCTACTGATATCTATAATAATAAATGGCACTGCCATTTTATAAGAATCTTTCTTTCTTTCTAGCTAAGGAAAGAATGAGACCTGATTACGATTGCCCACAAATGAAAACAAAAATCAAAGTCATGTGACCCTGGTCGGACTATTTTAAGCTGTTAAGTGATATAATTTTATGCCTAATTATGTTCCCATGTATTTGAACCTCACTGTCTTCCAGAAAAGTCAGCTGAAATGAAAACCCCTGTAAGCTATTGAACATCTTATGGCGCAAAGTCAGTAGCATTTGCTTCAATGGTCACAGAATAAACTAGTCTCAGAAAGCTGGTCAGGAAGACACTAGCCTGGATCATCATTTCACATTCAAAAAAAGAATTTCAGTTCTGCCTAGGATTCTTCTTCTTCTACAGGTGAATTGGGAAATGGCTTCTTTGAAGCCCAAAGCAAAGTATCTAGACCAGATTCCATTCTCAGAACAGCCCAAATGGGCCAGTAAAGCCCAGGGGCAGCTATAAGATAATCTTGCCCAACTGTCCTTTGCTAACCTCTCCCCCCCCCTAAAAAACAAGAGGACCCCAGGCTTCCTTTGCAAACTCTTGTATTCCAATTCCATAAAGCAGGCTATTGAATGGCCCTCCTTATGTCCCTTGTGCCAACTGGAAAGCAGAATTTCTGTAGCAATATAAATTCCAGCCTAGGAGGGGACAAAGGGACCTTTTACTCACATGGTTGTGTTTGGCTGTGAATTAACACAGAACGAATGGGGAAGCATTACTACACAACGGTCTTACAAGGCTTCACGTGCCAATCCAGAAAACAGACCTTCTTGGCTTTCGGCCCCCCTCCTCTCTCCAGAAGCCAGATCCTTGCCAAGAACACAGGTGTTACAAGCCCCCATGAACTCACCTGGTATCCGCTCATCGATGATCAAAGCTGGCTGCATCGGTGGCTCAGCCTTCTCCTCCGCGCCCACCAGAGCAGCGTTCCTGACGTTGGTCTCTTCTACAGTTTCACTCTTGCTGCAGAGGAGGGCTTCAACATTGGTAACTTTACAGCTAACCCCACAGCCAGGCACCACCTGGAAATCAGTGCACGTCCCAAGGGTATCTGCATCCAATTCCTGGAGAAACGAAAGGACCACGCAACAAACTCACCTGGGCAAAAACAGGACCATCATTCGAAACAAGAGCTCCAAATACAGATTCCAATACAAGATGTGGGAATAAAATACAGCAGTGCTTGGAGCAATAATAAGCCTTCTGGAGGACACGTAAGTAATGAAGACCTCCAGGAGGGACATCTGCAAGCAATTCTGAATTACAGTAGATGCCTAAAGTATCTGAAATATCTAGCAAAGTACAGATCTTGTACCTTCTGCCCGTGCTTTACTTATATTTGAACCCATCTTTTTTTCCAAGGAGCAAAGATAGCATGTTTAAATCTCACTTTACTTCCTGCGTACTCTTATCACTCCTGAAGGGTGAGTTAGGCTAAGAATGAGAAAATGGGAGAATGACTCAAGAACTGTTCACCAGTGCATGTTAGCGAAGACAATTCCTAACATCATAAAAGATCTGCACCAAGTGCAAACTCATTGCATTAATAAAGGAGAAAGTGGAAGGTTTAGACTTTCACGGGCCTGTCTAGCCACTTGGAGTCTCATCCGTGAGAATGAGGAATTCCTCGGAAAGGCAGAAGTCTGTATTCAAAATAAATGCAGTGAGGAAGAAAAAGAGCTGGCATGGTACCAATCTACAAAAAGGAGGGGAAAAAATGGATCCAGGAAATTATAGGCCAATCAGCTTGACATAAATACCTGGGAAAATACTGGAAAAGATAATCAAGCAGTGGATTTATGAGCACCTAAAATGAACAAGGGAATCACTAGAAGCGAGAATGGGCTTGTTAAAATGCATCATACCAGACAAACCTTGTATCCTTCTTTGATGAGGTGACTAAATTAGTGGACCAGCAAAATGTTGTGGACATAGTAAGGCATTTGGCAAAATAGACCACAGTCTATTTCTTGGTAAGAAAAAAAAATGTGGGATAGACAGTACCACCACCAGATGGTTTCATAATTGGTTGACCAACTGCACTCGGCATGCAGTCCTCAACGGAACTACATCTACACGGAGGGAAGCATCCAGTGGAGTGCCTCAAGCTTTTGTCTTGGGCCCAGTATTTTCAACACCAGAATCAGAATAGAACTGGAAGGGACCTTGGAGGTCTTCTAGTCCAGCCGCCTGCTCAAGGAGGAGATCCTAGACCACTTCAGATAAGTGACTGTCCAGTCTCTTCTTTAAAACCTCCAGTGATAAAACATCCATAATGTCTGAAGGCAAAGCTGTTCCACTAGTTAATTGTCCTCGCTGTTAGGAAGTTTCTCCTTAATTCCAGATTGCTTATCTCCTTGATTAGTTTCCATCGTTTCTTGTCCTGCCCTCAGGTGCTTTGGAAAATAAGTTGACTCCCTCTTTTTTGTGGCAACTTCTCAAATCCTGGAATAGTGCTATCATGTGCACCTAGTCTTTCTTTTCTCTAGACTAGCCATACCCAAATCCTGCAACCGTTCATGTTTTTGTCTCCATGTCTTTAATCATCTTAGTTGCTCTTCTTGTACTTTTTCTAAAGTCTCAACATCTTTTTTGTAATGTGGTGACCAAAACTGGGTACAATATTCCAGATGTGGCCTTACTAAGGATTTATAAGGCGGTACGAATACATCATGTGATTTTGATTCTATGCCTTTGTTTATACAATCAAGGATTGTATTGGCTTTTTTGACTGCTGCCGCACACGGCTGGCTCACGTTTAAGTGATCGTCCATGAGGACTCCAAGGTCCCTCTTCTTCATAAATTATCTGTACAAGGAGACATCCAATTGCAGATGACACCAATCTGGGGAAATTGCTGACACTTTGAAAGACAAGCTCAAGATTCAGAAGGATCTTGATAGACTTGAGGATCGGACCCTATCCAACGAGATGCAGCTCAGGGGTGAGAAAAGCAGGACCCTGCACTTAGGCAGGAAAAAAACAAATGCACAGGTATGAAATAGGTGGTGCCTGGCTCAACAGTAGCAACTCTGAAAGAGATCTAGGTACCCTACTGGACCCGCACTTGAGCGTGAGCCAGCAATGTGCTGCAACTGCCAAAAAAGACAATGCAATCCTGGGCTGCATCAACACAGGGATTACATCAAGATCACGAGAAGCGACAGGGCCACTTTATAATGCACTAGTGAGGCTACACTTGAATACTGTATAAAGGTCTGGCCACAATGATACAAAAAAGACACTGAACAGAGCAAGACAGGTGATAAAGGATCTGAAGGCTAAATCACAGGATGAATGGTTGAAGACCTAGGTACGTGCAGCCCATCAAAGAGAAGGATTAGGTGGGACGTGATCACTGTCTTCCAATCCTTGAGGGGCTTCTCACAGAGAAGGGGGGGGGCTCTTCTCCAAAGCACTGGAGAACAGGACAGGAAGTCATGGGTGGAAGATCATTAAAGAGAGATCCAACCTAAAACTAAGGAGGAATTTTCCAATAGTGAGAACAATTCATCAACAGAACACTTGACTCCCAGAGTTGTAAGTGCTCCATCACTGGAGGTTTTCAAAAACAGACTGGGCAGCCATTTGATTGAGATGGTATAAGGCAGTGATGGCAAACCTTTTAGAGACCGAGTGCCCCAAAACTGGCCCCGCCCCCCATCGCCCATCCCGCCTGCCCACAGGACCACTCACCATCTCCAGGGCCCACCGAAGATCACCCAGGCAGCCCAGCAGCACTATGGTGGTCACGCCCTTTGCCCGCGCCCTGCAACATCAGCTGTGTACAATGGGGTGTGAGGGCAAAGTCTTGTCTACGCTGCCTGGCTGCCATGTCCTTGGCTGCGCTGCTCTGTGTGGGCCACGCTCAGGGGTGACTCTCCTTCAGGGGGGCTGCTGGAGAGGAGGGGGTCACGGGGGGAGGCGTGGCTGGGGCTACGGCACATGTGCCCACAGAGAGGGCTCCGAGTGCCGCCTCTGGCACCCGTGCCGTAGGTTCGTGACCACTGGGATAAGGCCTCCTGCCTTAAGCAGGGTAGAAGACCTCTGATTTTATGTTCTACGATCCGCTCTTCTACCTGTTTGCAGTATTTTGTGATTGCTGCTCCTAAAGGGTGCTCACTGTGGCTCTCTGCTGTTCCCACCAGTGCCAAGACTTTCTTGCGTGGTATCCGGTTACTCTCCACTAGCATCTTCACCTGCACCACCACTGGAGTTCCATGGGTGATGGTTCCTGTTTTATCAAACATCACAACTTTAACCTGCAAAACATCCATACAGCCACACTCTTTAATAGAGTTGTAAACAACAGCAAATACTTGGGGGGGGGGGAGGATTCATAACATTCTTGGACAAAATTAAGATGTAAGATCTTTTTGCCTTTGCCACTCAAGCAAAAAGGACATTCCATTTTCTCACCTTGTGTGCCATCTCCAGCGGTTCTCCACCTTTGATCAAGATGCCGTTTTGTGCTCCTACTCCAGTTCCCACCATCACAGCAGTTGGCGTTGCTAATCCCAAAGAACAAGGGCAGGCAATACACAGCACGGTAATGGAGGCTTGAAAAGCAAAGCGGATCACGACTTCTGCTTTGGAAATGCTCTTATTATAGCCCTGTTGGCACACAGAGAGAGGACTGAATGGGCACTTATTTTAAAGAAAGTGCTGGAATTCAAAGTTTGATGAAGTCACATCTTGTGCTGCCCTCAATGTGGTTTCTTTGGCTTCAAATTATGGGAACTCATCAGTTGTGGCATATAAAATATGGCGTATGGTTTAGCATTTTGTATTAACCCAGCCAACTGTAATTTATTCAAACTGACCACAGAGTTATGTGAAGTGTGAATCTAAACATCTTGATTTTATAGATCATCTGTTTATGTGTGAAAGAATGCAGATCTTGCCACGGGAAGGGGTAGAAAGTTATGAAACATTAAAGGGAGAAGTGTGGGAAAAAGGAAAATGTGGGAAACAAACTCAAAATAACTCTGCCTTGATTTTATCTTGTAGAAGGTTTGGTAGGACTCTGCTACCTCCTCTACAGCCAAAGCCTACGAGGACCTGGGACCACCTGACCATACGAATAGCCACTACACTAGAGGCTGGAGTCAGACCTCAAATGTCAGCGAAGAGAAACATTCAAGTGGTTTTCCTGGAACTCTGGAATACCTCTTGCTGTAACGTCCAAGGGCTGCATAAAATAGGGTACAACAATAAGCATATCACTAACCACCATGAATACAATTAAATGTTGTGATCCAGCGTTAAAAAATATTACAGAAAGTGTGAACTTGCATTGCCTCTGTACACAATTTATTCTTTTTAAGCAGGTGATCAACTGATGGTCAAAATGGTCCTTTTCCCACTCTGTGACCTATAAAATAAGCGTTCCTCTGTGCAAGCAAAGATCATTTTTTTCTTTACTAGAACACATGACTCTTTTTAAGCGTAGTGTCTTCCAGCCACATCTTCAGGCATGTTTATTAGCAATTATTAGCATTTAGAAGATAATCATAAATCACATTTAAATACTGGGCAAAAATCAGCAAAAATGTAAATGTAAGTAATGCAACCAAAGCAGCATTTTAAAAACACCACTATATGAAGTAATGCATCTGAATCGTATTTCCTAATTTTTTTGCTATTTAAATTCAAATTGATGTATCAGACATAATATAGGGAATATGAACAATAGTCAAGAAAAGTAACCCTTTGGTTAATTAGAGTAGGGTAGAGTAGAGTAGAGTAGAGTAGAGTAGAGTAGAGTAGAGTAGGACTATGGAGGTCTTTTAGTCCAGCCTCCTGCTCAAGCAGGAGAACCTATACCATCTCAGACAAGTGACTGGCTAATCTCTTCTTAAAAACGTTCAGTGATGGAGCGCCCATGTCAGAATCCAATCATATTTCATCTTTAATTATCAAATATAGAAACTCCCAATTCTGCCTTCTTTGGATTCTGCCATAAGAGGGAGAGAAGGGGGAGAACAAAGGGGCTTTATGGCCCTCACTTCCTTCAGTAGACTTCAAAGAGCTGAATGCTGAATGTGTGTTTATTGTAACCTATTGTAACCTCAAAGTGTTAGCACCAGAGAACATTAGCATTAACAAAGAAGAGTATTTGCCTTTCATGTAGTTATCTGAAGTCTCCATCCAGACGGAAGAAAGAAGAAACGGGGTGGAATTGTGATACTTGAAACTATCACTGGGAAGGGGGGTTGATTGGGTGGGACTACTGGGGAACCCCTTAAAACCTTGAATGGGAGAGCTTGGACCCCAAGTCCTGTCTAGCATGCCTGCAACCATTTTCTCTTAATAAAGGATTCCTGTTGGAAGAACTATTCCAAGAGTTCTGTCTTCTTAAGATGCAAAGTGTGGTGGGTCCTTACATTAGACAGAATTTGCAAAATTAATCCACCTGGAAGGGAATACCCTTTTTTGTTTTTATTTTTGGGGGGGGGCCCCCACGGGGTATTTTTGGCAAAATTATCCATTTCAGACAATGGAGCAAGAGAGGGAAAACTCCCTGGAAAGAGAAGCCGCTGCCCAGTTGGAACTTGCCAGATGTTGGATCCGAGAGGGCAGATTCCTCAGGAGAAGACGTGGTGGAGACACGGGACCACAAGCCTCGCTGGTCAATGGGCATTGGAAAGAAAAGTGAGTGGGGAAAGGAATCAAAAAAGGTGACCCTGAGATGGGGGGCCAAGCAACCAGAATGGAAGCAGGAGATGGAGAAATCCCTGCACGCAAGTGAAGAGGGAGAAAGCTGGGCACCGTACTCAGACGGGATCCTAGAGAAAGCTATTGACCTGATGAAGAGAACTCTCAGCTCCCTAGGAGAGGAGAATACTGAACCCTACGGCTGCCCCAGTTCCTGGAGCCGCAAAGGGAGAGACACCGAGGGGAACGTGGAACATGCAACCCCAGGGACATCTACTGATCCAGGAGCTCCCACCCCCTACCGGACCACAGATGGCAATCTGGACGGAAGGCACTACCACCCACAACAGAGGAACCGATCCATTCCAAGACGTCCACCGTTGGAAGTGAAATTCAAAGGGGAGCCAACACGCTTGGGGTTTTTCCTAACCCAAGTCCTCAGCTACATGGAGGAATATGGGCAGGATATTCCCAGCGACAAAGCCCGCATCCGGATCGTGCAATCTGCCCTGGATGGACCAGCTTCGGATTGGGTAGTGAACTTGCATGACTCCAATGCCCCAGAACTCAGTAACTTCAACCGTTTCATGTCCTCTTTGAGAAGACGATTTGAAGACCCCCTGGCTGATCGCAAAGCCCGGGAAAGAATAACAACGATGAGGCAGGGCAAACGCCCAGTGGCTGAGTATACACAAGAATTTCGGGCCATTGCCAGCAAACTGAATTGGCCAGAAGACATCCTCCTTGGCCATTTCAAAGACGGACTAAACTATGATCTATATGATGCTTGCCTGCCCCGAGGGGACCCACATCGACTGGAGGACTGGTACGTCTTGGCAGAGGAAAGCAGAGATCGACATATTGAAGAGGCAGCCGCCGTAGGAAAACATGAGCCGCCCCCCCCCGGAGCTGACACACCAACTCGTGAATAATCATTGGATACAGCCAAGAAGCAAATGGGATGTTTCAAGTGCGGAAGAGAAGGGCATCGAGCTGTAGAATGCCGCTCAAAGGCCCCCCAGCACAACCCAGACAGATCCCCAATCAACAAACCCGGAAAGCATTCAGCTAAGCCAAAAAACGGCCATGAGAATGATGGAAATTGCAGAAACCCCCACCTCTGCTCACCAAGGGGAAAGGACTCCAGCCTACACCACAGGGCCGGTGGATGCCTCAGATGACAGCTCGGAGGGCGAACCCCTAGTAAGTGGATGCATCACAGCCATCTTCAAAACAGTGACTATATTAATCCCCCCCATGCCCGAAGCTGTGAAGGTGAAAGCCTTAATAGACTCTGGCTGCACCCGCTGCCTCATTAGCCCAACACTAGTGGGGAATCTGGGCATCCCAGCAGGGACGGAACAACCAATCTCATTTGGCCAGCTAGATGGATCCATAGCAGGGGGGGTGCCAGCTGGTGCCAGTTTACCCTAGCCACTCTGCAATACACCTCTCCCTGGCAACCATGAAGAGGACTTAAGTTTGTGGTGACCCCAGGTATGGAATGCCAAGGATTTCTAGGGATGATAATGTTGCAAAAATGGAACCCTGGGGTAAATTGGAGGACAGACAGAAAGCAAATTCACTCTCCCCTCCTTCTCGGAAGGGGGACCCTATGGACTTAAAAACACCTAAGACGAGGCTACCCAGAATTCAAGAATAGAAAAAGCATCCATAGGAGAGGAAAAAAAGATGTAACAGAAATACCAGAGGAATATAGGGACCTTGCTGAAGTCTTCAGTGAGGAGAGGGCGAATGAGCTTCCCCCCAACCGACCCACAGACTGTACCATTGAATTCAAGCCTGGGGCAAAACTCCCGAAACCCAGATTATACTCCATGAGCCCAAAGGAGAAGGAGGAAATGGAAAGATTTAATAAAAAAAACCTGGAGAGAGGTTTCATTGAACCAGCTAAGCCTAAAGTGGCTGCCCCGGTCCTTTTTAGAGAGAAGAAGGATGGCTCTTTACGTTTATGCGTGGATTATAGGGCCCTGAATACAATCAGTGAAAGCAAACTATACCCGCTGCCCCTCATGAAAGACATGCTGTCACACCTATCGAAAGGGAAAATTTTTTCTAAACTAGAATTAAGGGAAGCTTACTATCGAGTAAGAATCAAGGAAGGGGACGAATGGAAGACTGCATTTAACTGCCCCATGGGGTGCTATCAATTCAAAGTCTTGCCATTTGGATTACAATGGGGCCCTGCAGTCTTTATGCAATTAATCAATGACGTTCTAAGGGAGCACCTATTTAAGGGGGTCCTTGTTTACTTGGACGACATTCTTATCTTTACCGAAACAAAAGAAGAACACGTCAAACTTGTCAGAGCGGTTTTAAAGAAGCTGCGAGCCGCTCACCTATATGCCAAACTCTCAAAATGCGAATTCCAACAGGAAAGGATAGACTACCTAGGCTATCGCATATCCCCACAGGGCATTGAAATGGACCCGGAGAAGGTCAAAGCAGTACTAAATTGGGCACCACCCCGCACAAGAAAACAACTACAAAGTTTCCTGGGCTTTGCAAAATTTTTACCGCCAATTCATCCCCTCATTTGCACAGATAGCCTTGCCCTCACTAACTTACTAAAAACGAAGGGAGCATCCTCAGTAAAACCTAACCAGCCACTAACATGGACAATGGAGTGCCAAGCAGCATTTGAGAGACTAAAGATACTTTTTTCTGCCGAACCAGTACTAAGGCACCCAGACATGGACAAGCCCTTCGTAATACAGGCAGATGCAAGTGATGTGGCAGTGGGGGCTGTTCTATTACAAGAAAACAATGAAGGGGTATTGCAACCCTGTGCATTCATCTAAGAAACTCACACGAAAACAGAACTTGCGCTGGCCCGTATGGTAGAAGAGGCTTTGGGATAACTTTGGGCATTACTCACTTTGCGACAGTTCCTGGAAGGCAACAAATCCCCTTCCAGGTATGACTGATCACAAAAATTTAGAAGCCCTGAAAACTTCCTGAAACTCAATCACCAACAAGCCCTCTGGTCCCAGCATTTTCACCAATTCCAATTTAAGCTCAAACATTTACCAGGAAGAAAGAACTTCCTGGCAGATGCACTATCTCGCATGCCCCCATATAACAGCGCACGAACCACAGACTCTAGACCAATAATGGCAGAATCACAACTGGCAGCGCCAGTAACCACAAGAACCCAAGCCAAAATAAAACCACAACTGGACAGCCAAACTGGGATTGAATTCAGAAAAAGTTTGGAAACAGATGATTGGTTCCAGAAGAACAAACATGTGTGCACAATGAGAGACGGATTTGCCTTGGGTAGGGGAAAAGTTATATATACCAACAACTCAAAGACTAACTTTCATGCACCTTTGCCATGACACAAAATCAGCAGGGCATTTTGGATTTGTAAAAACTTTACACTTAATTAAACGGCAATTTTGGTGGCCATCCATAAAAAAGGACATAGAAAGTTATGTTGCCAGCTGCCCAACCTGTGCATCAGCAAAGAGGTTGCAATGGAAATCGCCAGGGCTGTTACAACCAGTGGCAAGTCCCTCAGCCCCCTGGAGGGAAATAGCCATGGATTTTATAGTGGAATTGCCTGAAAGCAATGGGAATACTGTTATCTGGACAGTCACGGACCTATTTTCCAAACAGGTGCACTTTATCCCTTGCCAAAAAATTCCCAATGCAAAGGCCTTAGCAAAACTTTTTATCCAGCACATTTACAGATTG